CCTGGATCTTTATCCAGGAAACAGTGGAGATTAAAGTATATTGGTTTCAGACGTCATTAAGTAATTCTGATCAGACAGCGTTCTTAGAGTCAGACCACTATTAAAGAGGAAGATAAGCAATGTCCCTGAGCAGTGAGCTGAAACCTCCAGTGAACCGCTGTCAAAACCCTGTATCTCACACATTCATACAGTCATTAGTGCAGGCCTGGTTTGCTCCCAGTCTCATAACTTTCCTATCGAACATCTTGTTTTCATCAATGTTACAACGAGTTAGACTGTTCTTTATTGATGTTCACAGTCCCACTGTTGTGCTGTTCTGGCACCGGATTGCGTTGTTTCAAAGGTCCCAGGGAGGTGGTTAAGAACTGCAGCCTGCAGATGGAGGCGGGTCGCACACCTAATTGAACCTCTAACTGATCTCAGAGCAGAGACAGCCGTGGAGCGGTTGAGGGGAGAAAGAATGAGTGTTATTTCTGTGAGCTCACTCAGCTCAGGACAGCTCTGAGCATGAGTTAGGTGTCAGGGGTCGTATGACATCACCTGGGAGGTGCAGGGGATTTGTTCCTTATCTGTAAATTATTATAAAAGTACTGATGTCATACTGTACCAGAACTTGATTACAGAAAGAACACTCGCTCACTACCAGGGGCCTGTAGTTGTTCCATTAATCACAACTCCTTCAGGGGCGAGGAGAGAAGCTCTGTGAAGTTTAACACACATGCACACACACACATACATACACATGCATTGATTACCTACATTGTGTGCAGTGCACTTGCAGTGCACCTTCCTTCAAACTCAGTGCCTCTTTGCTTGACATCATGGGAAAATCAAAAGAAATCAGCCAAGACCTCAGAAAAAAAAGTGTAGACCTCCACAAGTCTGGTTCTGTACAAACAATAGTACGCAAGTATAAACACCATGGGACCACGCAGCCATCATACGCTCAGGAAGGAGATGCGTTCTGTCTCCTAGAGATGAACGTACTTTGGTGCGAAAAGTGCAAATCAATCCCAGAACAACAGCAAAGAACCTTGTGAAGATGCTGGAGGAAACAGGTACAAAATTATCTATATCCACAGTAAAACAAGTCCTATATCGACATAACCTGAAAGGCCGCTCAGCAAGGAAGAAGCCACTGTCCCAAAATCGCCCTAAAAAAGCCAAACTACGATTTGCAACTGCACATGGGGACAAAGATCGTACTTTTTGGGTCTGGTCCGATGAAACAATAATAGAACTGTTTGGCCATAATGACCATCGTTATGTTTAGAGGAAAAAGGGGAAGGCTTGCAAGCCAAAGAATACTATCCCATCCGTGAAGCACGGGGGTGGCAGCATCATGCTGTGGGGGTGCTTTGCTGCAGGAGGGACTGGTGCACTTCACAAAATAGATGGCATCATGAGGAAGGAAAATTATGTGGATATATTGAAGCAACATCTCAAGACATCAGTCAGGAAGTTAAAGCTTGGTCGCAAATGGGTCTTCCAAATGGACAATGACCCCAAGCATACTTCCAAAGTTGTGGCAAAATGGCTTAAGAACAACAAAGTCAAAGTATTGGAGTGGCCATCACAAAGCCCTGACCTCAATTCTATAGGAATTGTGTGGGCAGAACTGAAAAAGCGTGTGCGAGCAAGAAGGCCTAAAAACCTGACTCAGTTACACCAGCTCTGTCAGGAGGAATGGGCAAAAATTCACCCAACTTATTGTGGGAAGTTGTGGAAGGCTACTCGAAACGTTTGACCAAAGTTTAAAATATTTAAGGCAATGCTACCAAATAGTAATTGAGTGTATGTAAACTTCTGACCTACTGGGAATGTGATGAAAGAAATAAAAGCTTAAATAAATCATTCTCTCTACTATTATTCTGACATTTCACATTCTTAAAATAAAGTGGTGATGCTAACTGACCTAAGACAGGGATTTTTACTAGGATTAAATGTCAGGAATTGTGAAAAACTGAGTTTAAATGTATTTGGCTAAGGTGTATGTAAACTTCCGACTTAAACTGTATATGCCTGTATTTATTTTTGAGTTGGATCCCAGATTTTGAACAGATTTGAATGAAACAGGCCAAACACTGTCACGATCGTTGGAGGAAGTGGACCAATGCGCAGCGTGATGAGTGAACATACTTTATTTTGATTCACCACACGAAACAAAACAACAAAACGATACGTGAAGTCCTAGGTAACAGACACAAACCCTACACGGAACAAGATCCCACAAAACACTGTGGAAAACAGGCTGCCTAAGTATGGTTCCCAATCAGAGACAACAAGCAACAGCTGACACTCGTTGCCTCTGATTGAGAACCACCCCGGCCAACACAGAAACACATGAGCTAGATAACGAACCTAGAACACAAATACATAGAAACTACACACCCTGGCTCAACATAACAGAGTCCCAGAGCCAGGGCGTGACAGTACCCCCCCCCCAAAGGCGCGGACTGCGACCGCGCCAAACATAAACCGAACAGGGGAGGGCCGGGTGGGCATTCCTCCTCGGAGGCGGTTCCGGCTCCGGGCTTGACCACCACCCTCCAACAATCCCCCCGTAGTGCCCCTGGTCCGGTCTGGCCCCGCTGGCTGGATCTGGACATCGGTGGAGCGGATTGCTTAGGCTCCGATGTGGAGCAGCTGACCGGTACCTGACCAGGCACCGGTGACCCAGGCACGGGCTGTACCGGACTGATGACGCGCACCACAGGCTTGGTGCGGGGAGCAGGAACGGGCCGGACCGGCCTGACGACGCACACCACAGGCTTGGTGCGGGGAGCAGGGACGGGCCGAACCGGGTTGACGAAGCGCACTACAGGCTTGGTGCGGGGAGCAGGAACAGGCCGGGCCGGGCTGGCGACACGCACCATTGGCTTGGTGCGGGGAGCAGGAACAGGCCGGGCCGGGCTGGCGACGCGCACCATTGGCTTGGTGCGGGGAGCAGGAACAGGCCGGGCCGGGCTGGCGACGCACACCATAGGCTTGGTGCGGGGAGCAGGAACAGGCCGGGCCGGGCTGGCGACGCACACCATTGGCTTGGTGCGGGGAGCAGGCACAGGCCGGGCCGGGCTGGCGACGCGCACCATTGGCTTGGTGCGGGGAGCAGGAACAGGCCGGGCCGGGCTGGCGACGCGCACCATAGGCTTGGTGCGAGAGGCAGGAACAGGCCGGACCGGCCTGGCGACGCGCATCACAGGCTTGGTGCGAGGGACAGGAACAGGCCGGACCGCACTGGGAACACACACCACTGGCCTTATCCGGGGATCAGGAACGGGCCGGACCGGACTGGCAACACACCTCAGTACCTCTCGCCGTGCCTCTACATTTTCCTTCCCTCTACTCGCCAATGGCTCCCGTAACCCGGTGGCCTTCTCTCCTCGTCCACTAACTCGGCCCCTTATCTGCCTCCAGCAGTCCCGTCGTCCACAGTGTGAGCCCCCCAAAAATTTTTTTATTGGGTTCGTCTCTCCCCCGTGGCTATGGCCTCCATGGCTCTCGCCAGACTCTCCAGCCTCTGCTCCCAAGTCCAACCTCTCTCCTCCTCACGCGGCTTGACCCAGTCGAGGTTGATATCCATTAGAGTCCTCTCTGGCGTTGGCTCCTGGATACGCTGCTTGACCCAGTCGAGGTGGACATCCATTAGATTCACCTCTGGCGTTGGCTCCTGGACACGCTGCTTGGTCCAGTTATGGTGGGATCTTCTGTCACGATCGTTGGAGGAAGTGGACCAATGCGCAGCGTGATGAGTGAACATAATTTATTTTGATTCACCACACGAAACAAAACGATACGTGAAGTCCTAGGTAACAGACACAAACCCTACACGGAACAAGATCCCACAAAACACTGGAAAACAGGCTGCCTAAGTATGGTTCCCAATCAGAGACAACAAGCAACAGCTGACACTCGTTGCCTCTGATTGAGAACCACCCCGGCCCAACACAGAAACACATGAGCTAGATAACGAACCTAGAACACAAATACATAGAAACTACACACCCTGGCTCAACATAACAGAGTCCCAGAGCCAGGGCGTGACAAACACCCAGGAGTGTTGCACATTTTCCAGTGTCCTCCCATCCAAAGTGTCACCACCCAACATGAGATACAGCCTCTGTGAAAGAACAGGACATGTCAGAAACATGCACATTCTCAAGCGCCTCACACACACACCCCGTTGAGTGATTTTGCATGTTGAATATTTGGCTGAGCTCGTATAGATTAGAGGAATGACAGATGAAAGACATGCTGCCTTGGAGTACTTTTAATGTTGACTTTACACCTGATAATCTTGTGTACAGACTATGTAAAGATAAATGGTACCGTAGATCTGTCTTTATACTATCGGCACTGATAGCTAGCGAGCAGCAATAGTTCCGTTTATTGGGGTTTTTCGTCACTGGTTATTTGGACAAATCATGATTTCGCAGATGTATAGATTCTTTAGAATTTTGTTAGGGGAGAGAACATTCGGTCCATAGACTTGCCTGTAACTTGCAAAGAGAGAGGGTGAAGTGCCTCGTTCCGGTTCCGCTCCTGGTTCTAGCATCTCTTCATCTCTTCTCCTAACACATATGGACCCAGACCTTCATCGAGCAGCTGACCAATTACGTGAGACTTTAGTTCTGGGTTAACCGAGATTTTACACCTGATAATACTGTACACTTCCTCGTGTAGCTCTAATTCAGACTGTGTGCCTCCTGTCATTGAATATAAGTGGGTGAGAAAGGTGGAGGAAGGGGAGGAGGGAGGAGGGGTTTGAAGATTTGTTTTCAAGGCCAAGGCCATTAAACTGACTGTAAGTGATGTGTCTACAATCTGAGTAGGATGCAGTCCAGGATCTCACTCTGTTTGCACTGATTCTGTTAACATTAAGTATATTGATTATTTAGTTGACATTTTCCTTAACTTGTATTCATTGCTGCACAGGTAGAGCAGAGCACAGGATTAAAATATTATTTCCTCTCTGTTATTTTTCTCTGCACAGGTAGAGGATGAGATCCAAGAGCAGTGGGGTGGAGAGCCCAGCCAATGGAGTACTCAGGGTTCCCCAGGCAACACATGACATCAACCAAGAAGAGGAAGTAAATCTGCATGCACCTATAAAGAGCCTAAAGGTCAAAGTTCAACCAAACAGTGAGGAAGTGGAGGTGGTGGTGGTGGTCTCTGACATAGAAAAGTCAACTGAGGACAGCTCGGGGACTAGTGACCAAAGACTGGGAATCATGAACTTTTCTAAAGAGGACCTTCTGAGGCTGCTAGGTGTCATGGAATGTGAGGTCCAGGTGAGTCTGACTCATATTGATAAACTACCATATGCTCATATTGTACATAGCTTCATAGTTAACTGTGGGGTGAACCATGAATCTTGTCAGCTGGAATGTTGTTTACTTGTATTATCCACTAGGTGGAAGGTATTGCCATGATTCTATTGTAAACCCTCACAATACTATAGTCCAAAATGACCATTTATTTAGAATTTCCCTACACTACAACTCTCTCTACTGGCTGAGGTTGGTACTAACACAGAGAAAACCTGTCTAAATGCTGTTTTATAACATGCGATTAAGGACTTGGAAGAGTAGTTATTTGGTGAGCTAAAGGAGATCCTAATAAACAATTGCAAGTTTTTTCTAGAATACTAAGATTGTGTGTTTTTGTTTGTGTAACCCCCAGGCGATGGAGGATGTTATCTGTGTGCTGAAGACTGAGAAGACACGGAAGACTCTGGAGTCCCACTATGGTTCTGCAGCTCCTACCACACCCCTCCAGGCCTTACAGAGAGACAGCCTTCTCACCAACATACGGACACACAATGACAGTGTCTACCAGAGGCCAATGGCTGAAGTTAGTCACTTACTGACAGATACTTATTAACCTTATTAAGTGTTTATAACATTTATTGACTGTAGTATTCTTTTTTACTTTCTTCATACAGACAAATCTGGTTCTCAAGTGTTGAAGATCATTATTATTTTTTATTATTTTGCATTATTTTATAAATGTCTTTGTTTTACAGTAAGGATGCATAGGTCAACAAGACTTAAGTGCAGTAGTTGACTGAATAGTCAGAGTAACAGTTTCATAAGATTCTGTGTTGTGTGTGTGTCTCAGCTGGACCATCTACAGGAGAAACACAAGGACACGTACCGGCGCATGCTGGAACAGCTTCTATTGGCTGAGAAGTGTCACCGGCGCACCGTGCACGAGCTGGACAGTGAGAAACGCAAACACACTGACTACATGAGCAAGAGTGATGACTTCACCAACCTACTGGAGCAGGAGAGAGAGAGGTGAGAGGATGAGAAAAAGGGGAGGGGCTCTGTAGCTCAGTTGGTAGAGCATTGCGCTTGTAACGACAGGATATTGGCCTTAATTCCCTGGACCACCCTGTAAGTAAAATGTATGCAAGCATGACTTAGTCGCTTTGGATAAAAGCGTCAGCTAAATGGCATATATTATTATTTATTAGTTACTTTTTGGGGGACCCAAAAATGAAAGAGTGGAAGTAAGAAAATGTTTTAGAAGTTGCTATTATTCAGCAATGAGGCATAACGTAGTTAGTAATGAGGCAATATCACCCATCACCAAGGGATCAAACATGCATGACAGAGCGAGAGAGAGAGAGGCCCCATCCCTGTGAGCCGCTAGCTGATTAAACTACTCACACAGAGGGATGAGTGAGGTCATCTGACCAGTGTGTGCTGGCGGTACCTCACCATGCCCTCGAAGCCAAGCGGAACCATGACCCAACCCTGTGACTCCCATTGACACTGATCATCACTGTTTATACTGTATGACACCTATCATATAGCCAGGACTTGTAAAGACAGAGGGCCAGCTCACTTTAGCATACTCCACTTGCTAGATCCATTGGATGAGGTTTTGGCAGCATGCACTTGTTGCTTCCGAGTGCAGAGACTAGTGCTTGCCCTTGCCCATGTGCTCAATGGAAGCATGGAGAACCTCTATGCCCATAAACTCAATGCAGTTCCTTTGGCTCCAGCAGCAGTGTAAAGGGCCATTGCACAGTGTTAACTGTTCTCTTGTGCTAAGGGTTACTGTGCAGTACCAGCCGCCTCTGGACATGGACAATTTACTCAGGTTTATAAATGATGCGTTAGAACTAAGCTGTGTGTTTGCATGTGTGTGTGTGTGTGTGTGTGTACAGGCAACCTGCATGCGTGCACCAGTGTGTGTATATATTCCCCACACCAAGTCATCTGCCGGCCACAGGCCAGAGTGGCGCCCCAGCTGCATTTCATAAGCTATAAAACTTCAAACAACATCTCCCAGACCAATGTACTCTCACTGCTCCACAGCCCCTTCTCCTTCACTTCTATTGGACAACTCAGGAGACATACAATGAAGGCTACATCACTGTCAGAAGAGCCACCATCAGAGACAGTGGAAGAAGCCTCAGAGAAGGAGGGATAAAGAGGAGAAAGGGAGATGGCAATGAAGTACTGTACATTGATTGTGTTCATTACAACGAACTTGAACCTGAACTTTGCCCAGGTTGTGTTTGATTGACCCTAAACATGCCTAACCCCAGGCAACAGGTTTCATGCTCTGTTGGAGAGAGATAACAACCTCAGGATCTCTCTTTAATGAACCTTCAGACAGTCTATTGAAAGCCTTGCTGTAAGGCCCTTACACATTAACCACCCTTAGGGAAGCAGATAAAGTCAGTGGAAGGGAGTTAGACAAGGCTTCATCAGGTACTAGCTATGTACAGTATGCACGATAAGAGTGAACAGTGACTTTTATTCTAAAAGCATGGAAGGTGGATATGAACTATAATGGTTTAATCCAAACCTGAGATGGTTGTTGGAGTTCACAGGTTTCACTAGGTAGGTCTACTGTACCTCCAGTTTATCTTACTGTAAGTGTTAGCGGTGACCTCCTCTGCCAGGTTGTTTCACTGTCCTGGTTGGCCAGTGTTCAGCATGGAAGGGCCACGCACACGCACACTCCCATGCCAGGTAGAGGGTTGCCACTGTTTCCATCTGTCAGTGCGAGGTAGGAGCAATGTCCATCCATCTCACACCTGTTCATTCAAATATCTCACTAACGTGTGTGAGTGTGAAAGGAGAATAGTGAAAACACCTACAGGGTCTTACACCAAACTACTGAAGGATTTTGGAGAGAAGGGGTTACAAACTATACTCATGACTTAGAGCCAACAGCCCTAATCACTCACTCAGAGGGGTGATTCGTGGTGAGAAGAGAAAATCTTTATTTGGCATAGGAAAGTATGTTGATTAATGGAAGAAATCTCTCAGATTCACGAATGTTGTCTTTATGTAAAACCGCAGATATTCAGTGACACAAGTATTCATGAGAGGCATTTAGTGCCACTAGCCGTGATCAAAATGGCACCGCCTTGTGCTCCAGACATTGGCCTCACTTCTAGTGCCCTTCTGTTTACACAATGCCAATGAGAAGTAGGCCCAATCCCAAATCGACCCCTAGACCCTACGACATATGCACCTGTGGATATCTAAGAGGATTTGATAGGTGTAAGCAATTTGCTAAGACCCATCAAATCCTCTCCGATATCCACAAGTGCATAGGGCCTAGGAGTTGATTTGGGATTGGGCCATACTGTATAGATCATGCTGAGCACTTAATGGTTTTCCCCATCAAGAGCAGGGATTACAGTTGAAGGCTTTGTTTTGACAGGCAGTGTCAGCTTCAATTCACAGCCCCCTGACACATAAAGCTGCTGCGCTTCCAACTATATTCCTCATGGAAAAACAGGATGATTGAAATGTTGTTCCATCATGAAAATCTGATTTCTTAGGGACCCGCTGTTGATTGCACCTGAAGAAGTGCTCAAGTGAGTTCAGGAGTATCTCATGTTTAGGTTGTGAGGAACAATGCTATAGCATATCCACCAATTTTTCACATTTGTGTTTTTCATCAGAAATTATTGCTTATGGGTACCTTCATGTGTGTGTAAAATATTACTGTTCTCAGATGTTTTATTAATAGATTTTAGATGTGTATGAAAATGTATATATTTTTGCTAAATGCTATATATCCATTGTTTAGCTGGAATGGAATGTTCGTATCCTGTATATTTAACTGTGATATTGTGGTAAGTCACTCTGGGTAAGAGCATCTGCTAAATTACTAAAATGTCAAATGTAAATGTTTTGCATACAGATCTCATTATTTTTAAACATGTTTTAAATATTGAGGTCACAAATGTATCATTTGTACAGGTCTTTATTAAAAATTGAGTTATTTGTTACATTTGACTGTAAAATCTAGCAGTACTACTTATTTCTCTGAGAGTGAGGTGGATATATAGCATTTTGCAAAAAAAAACATGATTATTTGTCTCACTGAAATGAAACAATCAAGTGATAGATTTTAAACAAATACATGTCTGTCATTAAACAACCCCATGCCATGATTAGATATTTGAAAAACACACCAATCGCTCTCATAATTTCTTTAAACAATAAAAGCTAATTTACCAACATTTCTGAAAATGGATATATTGCGTTTTGGAAAGAAACTCTTCAATTACATATAGACCAAGTCATTCTGAAACGTACAATCATTTGAAATAACTGGACGCCTACCATCCTGAATCTATGATCAAACAGAGCTGATACCATTCAACCCATGTTTCCTTACACACTAGCAGGCTGTGTGGTTCATAACTCATCATGCTGGTAAACTAACTTAATTAAAGTCTGGTTGTTAAAAGGTCAATGCTGCTCCTTGTTGGAGACTAACTTGGCCTAAAATCCTATAAGGGGCTCCTGAGGACATTGTTACACCTCTGATGGGTCTGACAGGGTCTCTAGTAGCCTTTTGACCACAGTTACTCCCTCCTGACTGACTGTGTCTCCAGGGAGATAGGGAGCACTACTTTACGCCTGAAGGTCAGGTGGGACTTCTCCCCCATGTGACCTCGCTGCTGTAGGCGCCATTAAAAGTGACATCATGCCTGTGACCTTTGCTTGAGGGTTATTTTAGAGTGCTGATTGCTTAGGTTTCAATAACCTATGAACGTGTAAGTACAGTATGTATGAAGATCAAGTGGCACACTGTAGAGGCTGGGTTGATACTCTGTACAGTAGCCAGCCATGGTGGTAATCTGACTTTACAGTGGGGTTTGAATGGTACAGATGCTCATAATCCTTCAACATAAACTAAGGATTTTCACTAATATAATCTTGAATTCAACGCATCCTCTATATTGAGGTCAACTATGATCCACTGTAAAGGGATAGTGAATTACATTGCCCTTGATTGTGGTTGTTGGGGTGAAGATAGACGTGTGTTTGTCTGTAAGGTTTAGAGTACTAGGCCTACTGTCTGTATACCAGGGATCATAAACTAGATGCAGCCACAATTTTTTCTTGAACGGATGATCGGGTTGCCGGAACATAATTACAAATAATTTGCAGACTGAAAATTGACCACAAGAAGCCCAAACAGACATAATACTTGACTAAAACAATCATTTCCAACCTTGCTTACATTTGTATACGATCACGTGTCTCTCTATTACGCATGGGAATACTTGGTAACAGATTAAAAAAATTAAGATCACTTGGGCCTGATTTACTGGTGTTTTTACAGTCTTCTATGTCCAACAATGTTTTTAAAAAAAATTTGCCGGGCAAAGTAAAACCACCCACAGGCCAAATTCAGTTGCTCTATACAGATCCACATGGTCAACATATCGTTCAGCACCTCAAAAAAGGTCTGTCTGTACATCTGACTTGTCACAGAGCTCCTCCAGGGAGCAGAACTTGCTCATCCCTATCTGTTTTCCCCATTATACGTCAGCTTTACACAGAGCTGGCCACTGATCCATTTCTCCCAAGGTGACACTACAGCAGACAGACTCACTGTCCTCTCTCCTATACCACTGAGCTTATAGCTTCCTGTCTGACCAGATCATTTCCTGTCTATAGGGAGGGGTATTAGGAGATTGATCACAGGTTACCCGCGCTCTAGCGACTCCTTGTGGCGGGACGGGCACCTGCAAGCTGACTTGGTTGCCAGCTGTACGGTGTTTCCTCCTACACATTGGTGCGGTTGGCTTCCGGGTAAAGTGAGCAGTGTGTCAAGAAGCAGTGCGGTTTGGCAGGGTCGTGTTTCGGAGGACGCATGGCTCTCGACCTTTGCCTCTCCCGAGTCCGTAGGGGAGTTGCAGCGATAGGACAAGACTGTAACTACCAATTGGATATCACGAAATTGGGGGAGAAAAAGCACAAAAAAAT